CTACTTTTACTCCTGCTGCTGCTGCTACTACGACTACTGCTACTACCACCACTACCACTCCCACGACCACCACTGCCACCACCGCGAACACCGCCACCATGCAGCATCTAGACTCGGCTCCAGGAACCAAAAGCAACATGGCCCCTGAAGCCTGAGAGCCAGCCAAATCTCAAACGCGAGTGTCTTTCAGACCCCGTACGCCCTTTAAAAGCTCAATCTGCTCGGAACCGCTCATGGAATCCTTGTCGAGCAAACCTCATACAACCCTGTCCAAAGCAAGCTAAACCACTGTAAAACACGACACAAAACCATCTAAAACCCTTCTAACAACCCAAAAAAGTGACCCTAAATCCTAAAGCCCCCAAAGGAATCCTCAAAAGGGGCCCTTGAAGGAGCCCCTTAAAGGAACCCCTAAACCCTACGCCCCCAAGGGAATCCTTAAAGGAGCCCTTGAGGGAGCGACTTTTCGGAACCGTCGTGAAACCTGACGCTTCTCTCTCAAAGCCCAAGGGGCCACAAAGTTTTGCCCCATGAGCCCCAGGGCCACGAAGAGCCTGGAAGGACCAGGTTTTGGGGTTCGGGGTTCAGGGTCGAGGGTTTTTAGGGTTTAGGGTTTAGGGTTGAGGGTTGAGGGTTGAGAGGCATCTTAGCTGTAGGTAGGCATCTTCGGCCTGCAGCTTTTAGGGCTTAAGGTCTAGGAGGTAGGGTCAGGAATTTCTAAATTCAGCTAACATAACATAGGGATCTATTGTAGATAACAAGGTCTTCCTTGTTTTGGAAGCTGAAACTCAACAAGAACCCAGATAGGCAATAGGCCATAGGCTTTGTATGAGCATAGGCAATGAAACGGGCTTGTGGAGCTCCTGTACTACAAGCACAATCTAGGGGCCTAAATAATTCGAATAGGGCTTTGGGGGGTACATTCTCCTATGATTTTAACAAAACCCCCCGAAAAATGGTAGAGGCAATTCTTGCGGCTTCTATATGATCACATTGAGGTTTCAGGGCTTCAGGGTCGGAGTTTTGGGGCTTACGTGCGTTTAGGTTTTAGGATTGAGGAACAGAGCTCGTCCCCTTGGGGTCTGGGAGGGGCTTGGAGTTTTGGGGCTGGGAGTTGGCTTAGAGCTTGGGGTTTAGGATTTAGTCTTTAGGGGTTTGGGGATTTATGCAGGCTTTAAGGGTTTAGGGTTTAGGGGCTTGGGGATTTATGTAGGGTTTGGGATTTGGGGTTGGTTGAGAGCGTAGGGTTTGGGGTTTAGGGGTTTGGGGATTCATATAGGGTTTAGGGTTTGGGGTTTAGGAGTCTTTCGTGAAGAGTGGGATGTCCTCATAGCTAACATGATGTTGTACGAGGCCCACAACCTTGATCCCCAAGCCCCGCGTCCACAGAGCTTGAGGCTTCGGTGTTTCGAGTTTAGGGCTTTAGAGAGGCTCGCGATTTGTGGACTAAAGGTGACCTGCAAAAATCCCTTTTACGACGTAAAGAACCCCACATGAAAACGCTGAAAAAGTGTAAGCCCTAAAGCATTCATCGCATCCAAAAAATATGAACTCCCAGGCTGGGTTTCCTGAAGCCATAGCGGAGGACGGCTAGAACTTAAGGTTCTGGAATTGGGGCTTCGGGGTTGGGGGCTTTGGGGCTTGGGGGTTGGGGCGTTGGGATTACGGTTTGGGCCACGGGGATCACCTCAACTCTGAAAACTCCCACGACCTGGTCCTTGCTTGGGGCTCGGAGCTCGGGCGTTGAAACTTTGCCGTTACAGGCTTAGGGTTGAGAGTTCAAGGTTCGCACCTCGAAGTCCCCGAAAAACGGGTGCCTATTGATCGTGTTCTGCTCCGCGATGTCTTCTGGAAGAGGCAGGCTGAGAGCTAAGTAGCCTGTGCCAAGGCTTCGGAGATTTAGAGGCTGACCTACTATATAGGGCACTAGAGCCCCTACGGGCCCTATATAGTAGGTACCTGGAGGGTTAGGGTAAGGTTTAGG